TAACTCAAATGACTGGCAGATTTGGTGACATCTCCAAAGAAGGTGCCAACTGGTAGTCATTGCGCTCCTCCCATTTGTCCTGGCCCAAAATGATTCCCAATTTGTCGATATCTAATCACCGGAGTTGGGCACACAATCTGGAGTCTAAGTCTCCCATCCACTCGTCATGGACCCTGCATTAGTTAGGCGATGAAGACTACCTACTGTACGGAGTAGCTTTAGAGAGTTATCGCTCGCTGATGGTGATGATGATGATGATGGCATCAATTCAGTAAAAACATAAACGTCAAACGCCACATCGTGTGGTTTAAACGGTTGTCCGCCGGGTTCCGGGGCATCTAGAGCCCATGGTTCGAAACGCCAGATCGAAGTTATTATTCTTCAATGGCGCCGCCCCAAGCGAAACCGACTCAATTGTCGAGCCCATACGCGCGAGCCTCTAAGCAGTATTGAAGTTTAACTTAAGTAGCGAGCACAGCCATTGAAATTTCCGGTCTTCACTCAAATGAGCAATGCCACTCATTCTCGGAACTGCTCTGTATATTTCCTTGATTCCAAGCGAGAACCCTGTTTCTTTCCAGAAGATGATCAGCAGCTAGTGGATGACGAAAGCATTACAAGAAAACACTCATTTAAAGAGCTGAGGGCAGATCGCCTTCGAGAGAGGTCAGCTTCGTGAGATGAAAGAACGCAGAGAGAGCGCTTAAGCTTAGCTCCAGCGTCACCGAACTCCTGGAAACATTTCCGCCTCTAGAAGGACAGAAGGAAAGGGGGCGCAACGTCTTTCAGCGCCCAGCGTCTACGCCATTGATCAACCACGAGAGCGCCGTCATGCCTAACTTTTGCGCCGAGTGGCAGACTAATTTGGAGCCGGCTCTTTTGATGAAGCAATTGGTGCCAGCCTTGGTGGCATCTAGACGCTCGATGGCGTGGAAGCGCGGACACGGGGTGTAAATGACGATCGAGCAAGACGGGGAAATTCGTCTTTTAGGGGAAACGTTATCTGGCCGTTTTGTTCGCTTGTGAATTCCGAGGTGATGTGACCGAGGTTAATACGGTAAGCTTCATTGGGTTTCACATTGTTTGCCGGTGAGGAATTCAATATTGCTGATCCTGCGGTAGTCTTTACGATCTATTGATTGTCTAGCATTGAGGCGACATCGGACACTGGTCAGAGCCTGCGGAGGCTGTATGCTGTCAGACGGAAGGATTGTGCGGTTTCGGTCATGTCATCGATGGTAAGCAGGGTCCCAGCTTGTTTGATCGACTTGGTCAATGCTGTGCGCAAGTTCATGAGGCGGGAGTCGGTGACAGCAATAGCTTGCGGCTGAGCGGTCTCGTGGTGAGAGACGATATCATGGATGAAGAAAAAAAGGGGACTGATGAGCAGGTTCCACAAAATCTTGATCGAGCCCGCGCGGCAATTGCTCGAGTCTCCATGATGTTCAAGGAATGGCATCGTCCCGGGTGGTTGACTCTCATCGTGCCCTGGACTGTCAGGCGGGAACTTGTGATGGACAGTCATGGATGGCTCTGGCTCTGGCTTTGATCATGGCCATGGATAGTCATGGAGCGGCCGGACGGCAGACCGCATCGCATCGATCAATCCGTGGCTCCGTTGTGGTGCTGAAGCGAGACGCAGGAGAATGCATTGGTTTGCCCATCTTGCATATCGTCTGCAGGCCCAAGGTCAGGAACGAAGAAGCTAGGGCACGACTAGTAAACGAGGCACCGACGAGTCTCTTCCTCTGTCTCGCTGATTTTTTTGTACTGCGGCGCCCTTTGCGCAACCATCTCAGCCATGAATTCCCCCTTGTTGAGAGGGTTTCAAAGCCCGCTTTTGCTATCAGCTACCCGGCACTTCCACCATCAACACCACCTTTTGTCTCTCATGATAGCTAACAGTATCTACATATTAAATCATGTACAGATTAGGAAAAATGATAGGCCTGATCAAGTCCGGGGTGGTGGCGGCAGAGTTATTGATCATCGTTCAATAGGCACAAAATGCATCTTGGCTAATCTACGAATATGTGATGGCTAAAAATACAGATCGTATGTGGCATCCAATCCGACAACTTGTCACCCAAAGTGCAAGATGAAGCTAGAAATAGTTCATGTGATGAGACTTCCACCAAGCAGCCCGCCAGATTCAGTCACATAAAGTATACATTCATATTTTCTGACACGATTTCCTGACTCGAAAAATGCTCGCTCAAAAAAGGGCCGCTGCGTGATGTGGGCATTCCGTTGTTTCTCCTCTCCTGCGAGGCCATCCATTTACGAGTATCCTAAAGTTCTGTGCATGCATGCATGAGAGAGGAGAGGCGACGAGAGGAGACGTTGTGAGTGGGACTAAAAACCGTTGATCTCTGAAGTCTACTGGGAGTTTGGTACCGAGTTTATCGGATTTTTACTTTAAGGGGAATTTTATCGTGTGGTTTTTTGAATCCGCGTTTTCTAGCTGCTTTGGTGCCTTTGGTCGTGCATATGATATGACACCTATACTTACGCCGGCACACACATTTTGAAAGTCCAGAGTGCTCTTGTGATTGATTCTCCCTTTTTGCTGAGGGATGATTCAAGACAGAAACTCCAAGCTTGGCGATAATGACTCTGGTGGTCTCCGTAGTGCGGCAAAGGGTCGCATCCTCCCACACAACTAAACATCCCGTGTTTCTGTCTGTCCTTGAGAGCTTCACCCAACCCAAGTACGTATGTACTGCCGGATACCTGGGTCTTGACATCGGCTCGGAAGCCTAAGCTACGGTACCCAGACAACAGGGGATAAGAGCTTCTTCAACCGGGAGGCCCCCAAACCCCTGGGACCAGAAAGACTCCACTGAACTGCTAAGGTCGGGTTTTGGTGAGGTTAGGTTACCTTTGGTTAGGTCTGGTTAGGTTGAAGAGAAGAGAGAGAGAGAGCCCCGCTGAGACCGGGCACAATCCCTCCCGTGGACACTGCACTGAGCGCCACTCTTTTTTTTTTTTCTCTCTGACCTTGTGAGCCAGCCTCCCTGCTACCTTTTGGTTGCCCCCTGGTCGTTTCACTGTAGAGAGAGAGAGGACTTGGGGGCGTGGGGTTATCTTCCCGTGTACCTTGCCCTGGTCAATCACCCTCGCACTCAATCCAACAGTCAAGTTCAATTCAACTGTTGACCATGGATGGGAGTCCACTCCGACCCGTACGCTATCTCCTCCACCCCCTGGAACTTGGAACTCCCACTTGGGACAGGCCAGGACCCCCTGGACTGGGAGAGAGAGACGGTTCCACCTCACTGACGAAAGACGTGGGTGTGTGGTGGCCACCAGGAACTGCAGAGCACAGAGCAACAGAGAGAGAGAGAGAGAGAACAAGACTCCCATCCGTCAAAAACGAATACTACCAGGGTCGTCGACTAACTCAAGTTAAGGTAATAATACCACGGCATTCCCCAGACCCCGACGTAGACGGTGTTCTTGTTCCCATCTCTTCCCCTCGACTCGACTTTACTCGACTTGATACCATTTACATTATTCCTCGTACTCAAATCTCCTCTCCATCTCATTCATTGTTTTGCGTTAAGTGTGTGCGTGGGTTTGGTTTACGGTCTGGTCTATTTTTACTTTTACGACTTGCTTCTACTACTCTTGAATCGCCAACATCAACAGCATCATCAACAACAACATCACTCTACCACAACCAAAATAATTCGGCATCACCTAATCTGGTACCTTCCTTGGACCGTTGAGCTCTCGAACGTTGCTGCTTCTCCACCCTTGTCGCTCAATCTCATCCGCAGCATTCCATCCAACGCGAACTCGACGAATGACCTGACTCACATCCAGTCAGCACAACCAGACAACGATATACCGACGACTAATAACGATTAATTGCAATTGGTCAATTTGGATTGGAGTGATCACATCGACCTCATCACTCTGTTTTGACAAGAAAAGGTAAGCAAGAGGAAGAGCCAAGAAAAGAGAGTCGAATGCGTCAGTGGCAGATTTGTTTGCAATTGTTCTACACACTCTATTCAACACAGCACAGCACAGCACAACACAACATCGTTCCATATTGTCTTATTTCTCCCCACAACCACGCAGGTACTGTACGTCGGCTGCAATGCACAGACGGGCTTGAAGCATACAGGCTATGCACATGGGCGGATCGTGCCGCAGACAGACATGACAGGACTGGACCATACTGTACATGCAATGCACTATTCAGGCGAGACAAGTCACGAGGTGTTGGGTTGGGTCCAAGAGATGATTGTTGAATGACTTTGACATGGGATGATAAGAGCATGGGCAAAAGCAATGCAAAGCAAAGCAAAGCTACGCTACGGAAAATATGGGCACCTCGCGAGAAACCGTTCAAGGTGGACGTTGAACGAGGCGGGTGTGCTTGCTTTTTTGGAGCCTGGGGGTTCACAGAGGAACAACGTCTTTTTTTACGCCCTGAAGCCCCCTCTAAAACGTCTTTTGCCAGGTACCTTGCGTGGCCGCTACAGCTACGCCTTGCAGAAGGTCCCCCCCCCTGCGATACTGAGCATTCCAATTCCTCGACAAGTCCTCCATGGCCCCCTCCAACCCTCATGACATCGTCTCCCTTCATTCCATCACATTTCCCACAAACAATCAATTGAAATCGCGACTTCTCGTCCCTAGGTGACTTGCTAACATTTCTCTTCTTTCCCAGCCAACCGAGTTCCCCCCTCCTCGATTTCCTGTTGCTGTGGTGCAGTTCTATCGAGTTTGATCCCAACATCATCACCACCACCACTTACACCATCGTCGATATCGAGTTTTCGTTACTCCAGCTTCATCATCAGCCTGCACTCTTCTCTTGGATATTCAGACACGACTGCTCGTTAGAGAGAAAGGGATAAAAGAGGATCGAACAGAAAGAGCCGGATCATTTCTTGGTTCGAGTGGTTGTATAAACCCACCGGCCGAACCCTTGGTCCCCCGATGATCTAAACGGCGACATCGATTGTCAGCGGCAATCGCACGCAATGTTTAGCGACCAGCCTATGCGAGCCAGTCTCCAGGTGGCTCCTCTTACCATCGCCAAATCACGAACTGAATCATCTGGAGATGCTTCATCGACCTCAGAAAACGACAACACTCTCTACTCACAATCACAAATGACACCCCCCGCTACACCAAATGGCTCGCAGGAGGATCTCTCACCTTCACCTCAGTACATCCCTCCCCAAGTCTTCCACAACTTCCTGCGAGCCTTCTATCCTTTCAACCCCAGTTATGTCATGTCCGACTCGAGTGTGACATTACCTCTCAACGAGGGTGATGTGATTCTCGTGCACTCTATTCACACCAATGGATGGGCTGATGGCACATTACTTATCTCAGGCGCCCGAGGATGGTTACCGACCAACTACTGCGAGGCTTACGAGCCTGATGACATGTGCAACCTTCTAAAAGCTCTCTTGAATTTTTGGGATCTGCTTCGAAGCACATCAGTCAATGATAAGGAGATCTTTGGCAACCAGGAGTTCATGAAGGGCATCATTGCTGGTGTTCGATTCCTATTGGTGAGTTAATCTTCGTTCACTTTGACAATTGACTTCTAACAGTACAAAGGAACGAACAAACTGTCTCAACCGAGAGTCTACCCATATTCAAAGGAACGATGCTCTGCGCAAGTGCCGCAAGTCTCTTCTCTCTGAACTATCTTCATTAGTGAAGACAGCAAAGCGGTTACAAGAGACACAACGTCTCGAAATTGCTCCCGTTGAAGATGTGAATGATATCATCGATGAGATGATCCTCAAAGCCTTTAGAATTGTAACAAAGGGAGTTCGGTTTATGGATGTGCTCGAGGATGACCGAAGGGCACGTGCGCCTTCAGCTGTTACTGTTATGGATACAGTGCTCGAAGAATCATACGTACCGCCAACACCACCCGCTGATCAGTCTTCCTTTGATGAACAAAGCCAACGCAGCACAAACATAAATGACACGGATTCCCAAGCTGCCGCCAGTGTCGCTGCCTCTGAATCGAGCGAGACTACTCAAACATCAACATCTATCTTCAACAAGCGATTATCGTCACTCAGTGGTCGTACTGGCCCGAGCTCTCACAGGTTATCTCAGGGAAGCCTTTCGCAAGCCCAAGCTCACCGCCTGTCGGCCACTATTTCGCACCGAGTGTCGCTTGCTGGCCCATCGTCAGTGTCGAGAGCCCATCATCTAGTTACTGAGCGCCTGAACCGCAGCCACGACACATTCCTGTCTCATCTGGGCTCCTTCATCGGCCGCCTGCATCTTCAATCACAGTCGCGCCCCGAGCTCGCATCAGCGATCCGACAGTCTGCGCTTTCAGGTGGAGAATTGCTTGCAGTAATTGACGGCGTCTATGACCACATCAACTCCAGCTCTGAGGCTCTTGCCCGAGCTCGATCCACCATGTTCGCCCGAATCCAAGATCTAGTCTTTTCTGCCCGCGATACCCTTGTCAGCGCTGCCTCTGAAGATGCCGATTTGATTATGCCCCATGACAACACAATGCTCCTCGCATCCGCTACGGGCTGCGTTAGGGCCGCTGGAGATTGCGTTGCCAAGGCAAAATCCGCTATCGAGCGCATTGGCGATTTTGAATTCGAGCTCGAGACTAGCAGCCTCGGAATTGATCTCAGCATTCTCGATATCGATACTGAGGAGCGAGCTAGGACCCCATCTGTTTCAGAGCACAATGACGCTGTCAGTGTTGCCGGCTCCAACCGAACCTCCAACTCATCTAACGGACATGCTCGTCGCCTCACTGTTGTCGCAATTGACAAGCCTCTTCCTGAGGTTCCCCAGGTGACCACACCTACTGATGAACAGACCGCTCACCCTTCACCCACCTCTTCACGACGCTCGTCAGTTGCTGATGACAACGTCTCCAGCGTTGCATCCTCCATTTCCTCCCTACGACCTTCTCTTCCTCCCCTTCCCAAGCTTTCTACCACTCTCCTTGCCAACGAGGAATACAGCCCTGTTGATAACAATGATAACGACTTCAACTCCTCTTCTCGGTTCGACAGTATGGTTGCTTCAAGCGCTGGCAGCAGTGCCACCTACCTTAGCCGTGACTCCGAGGTCAGCATGGTTTCGCAGTCTTCCACTCGAGCTACCACTCCTGAGCAGAACCTTGCCCCTCAGAAGCAGCCTTCGCTGTCGAATTTGAGTAACGGCGGAAGCTCGGAGGACGTCGATGTTGAGTCAAGACTTATGGAGAAGACATTTGCTCACGAGCTCATGTTCAACAAGGAGGGTCAAGTTACTGGCGGCTCTCTCCCCGCTCTTGTCGAGCGTCTCACAACCCACGAATCTACTCCCGATGCCATGTTTGTCTCTACTTTCTACCTCACCTTCCGCCTCTTCTGTACACCGGTCCGACTGGCTGAAGCGCTTATTGAGCGATATGACTACGTTAACGACTCCCCTCATGTGGCTGGACCTGTCCGTTTGAGAGTATACAATGCTTTCAAGGGCTGGCTCGAGTCCCACTGGAGGGACGAGACCGATCGCGATGCTCTTGACCTGATCATGCCCTTTGCTGAACACAAGCTGGCGTCCTCTCTGCCTTCTGCTGGTCGACGTCTGTTTGAGCTTGCTCAGCGTGTCTCTGGCGAGGGTTCTCTGGTGCCCCGACTTGTCTCCTCAATGGGCAAGACCAACACCTCGATTGGTCAATACGTGCCCGCTGACACTCCTTTGCCCATTCCTGCCATTACCAAGGGCCAACTCAACCTTCTCTCTGCTTTCAAGATGGGTGCCGCCCAGCCTAGCATTCTCGACTTTGACCCCCTCGAGTTGGCTCGCCAATTGACCATCAAGCAAATGAACATCTTCTCTTCTATCCTTCCCGAGGAGCTTCTTGCTTCTCAGTGGATGAAGAATGGTGGCGTCGCCGCTCCCAATGTCAAGGCCATGTCCTCTCTCTCAACTGATCTTTCCAACCTCGTCGCTGAGACTATCCTCCAGCAGCAGGAGGTCAAGAAGCGTGCTCAGGTCATCAAGCAATGGATCAAGATTGCTCACCAGTGCCTTGAGCTCCACAACTATGACGGTCTCATGGCTATCATCTGCAGTCTCAACAGCAGCACTATCAGTCGTCTCCGAAAGACTTGGGATGCCATCTCCACCAAGCGCAAGGACATGCTCCAGAACCTTCAGGATCTGGTCGAGCCCTCTCAGAACAACAAGGTCTTGCGAACAAGACTCCATGACCATGTTCCTCCCTGCCTACCCTTCCTCGGCATGTACTTGACCGACTTGACATTTGTCGATATTGGTAACCCTGCCACCAAGCAAATGTGCCTGGGTCCCGAGTCTGAGGAGGATGGCAATGGTGGTATCACTGTTATCAACTTTGACAAGCACACCCGCACTGCCAAGATCATTGGAGAGCTCCAGCGGTTCCAGATTCCCTACAGACTTACCGAGGTACCTGATATGCAGGACTGGATGTCCTCACAGATCAACCATCTCCGCAATGAGGAGGGCAATGTCCAAGTCACATACTACCGCAAGAGTCTCCTCCTTGAGCCTCGTGAGACTGCCAGCCGACCTCCAGTGGACTCTTCCGCTGCCTCCATCGTTGGCGCTGGAGGTGGCCGCCCCGACCTCTTCAGCTGGATCTCCCGCGACCGAGGCACCTCAACACCAACTCCTACCCAGATATAAGATTTTGCTCATCGCATCAGATCCCTATCGGACTGAACAGCAATTTACCTTCACCATTATCACACGCACATATTACCTCACACCAGTAACTACTTCATCTTTGATACCCCCCATTTTTGTTTGAACTTCTTTCAGCAGATGGGAAACATCGTCATGTTCCTTATGACCTCTATGTCCATCAGCACAACGGCGTTATTTACATTTGGGTCTGATAATTTATGTTTTACGGTTTTCAACTCGGTTCCCATGGGTGGAACTTGTTCAAGGATCTTATCACGAAGCGCGAGCGCTGGGTCCTTTGAGGTTCGACACTCACATCAGAGATCGTCGGCCTCCCTCCAATTTCAGGGTACAGCTCATCCCGCATTCTTACATTCTACTTTCTCACATTCATTCTCATCCTGGTTTTTGCATCCCTGTATTATCTCTTCTGGCGAAGATGGCGCAGGGCGGTGGAAAAAGGAAAAATAACCTCTGGGCACGGGTGCATTCGAAAACAGCTTGCAAAGGATTCATGGGTGCCTGGGTTGTTTTTATTTTTTTCTATTCTTGGGTTTCTCTTTAATGTATTCTCAAACGCCGCCGGCGCGAAAACGAGTGTATCTGATTCTTACTGTATGAAAAAGAGACGGCAAGCCTGTCGTATCATGTTTGTTATTCATCATTGAACTTCTGGGAAAGGAGTCTGGTGAATCAAGGACTGGACAGGCAGGACAGGTGACGGAAAAGAAAGACAAAATGAATGTATTCTGCAATAGAATAGGAAGAACAACAAGAAGAATTAGGATCTATCGTCCTTGAAATCTGTTTCTCTCTGCCACTACGATGTGATGTGTCTGCCAAGTTGAGGTGACGACTCTAAGCCTACTGCATGGTCGTGACTTTTAGCATAATGGTAGAGCCATACTTATATGTGAGAACGGAAGTGAAGAAAAAGACGCCGAGGGCATATGTGATGTAAACGTAAATCTTCATTAACTCGCTTCCTGTAATGTAATACGTCAAGCAATAACCCAGTCCATAGATAGTATGACCCATCCAACTCACCCATGTATATACACGCTGAACGCCGATATATCATTAAATTATTAAGTATTCTTATAAATAGTAGTCCCTTTCATCTCTCTCCCTTTTCTACGCCTCTGTGAGGGCGATCTTCTTATCTGTAGGTGCGACAATGACGTCCTCGATCTTCTCGTCGCTGAACTTGAGATCCTCTTCAATTGAGACGGAGTCCTGGATCTTCATGAAGATGACAGGGGCGGCGATGACGAGCGAAGCACCGAGGCAGGCCCATGTAGCGGCGAAGATGGTGTCGAATGGCTTGCCGAGGCCGTCAAGACGCCAGAAGATGGCTGCACCGGCGGATTGAATGCCCTTGTAGAAACCTGGTTTGATGAGTTAGTGCTCTGGTATGAACACATATGAGAAGGATGATTAAGACTTACCAGCAAAATTGGCTGTCTTGCGGCCAGAGTTGGAGAGAGCACCCATGTACCAGTAGATGCAAGTCTGCCAAGCAGCATCGAAGAAGCCGTAGAAGAAATAGAGGAACATGGGAGCAAGGAACTTGTGAGCACCATCGTCCCAATCAATCTTGTCATCCTCGTTGGCAGGGTTCATGGCGATCTCACGAGGTCGCTGATCCTTCTGCCAGGCATAGCCACCACCCCAGATAGCAAAGGTCAGGACAAAGAGGACGACCAGAGAGATCTTTGCACGGACACTGCGACGGACGCTAGAGGCGTCAAGGGCGTATCCAACAATAAGGGCGCCAAAGATCTGAGCGAGCCAGTAGAGCAAGTTGTTGAGAGCGCGAGTGCGAACGTTGAACTGAGCGAGGTTCATGTTGACGTTTTGGTAAGTGTAGAAGATGTTTGAGGAGAAGAACATGGGGAAGAGGAGGACGACCCAGGGGGTGTGGGAGAGTGTTTCCCAGAGACCCTTGATTTCTGTGCTCCATGAGGGGTTCTTCATGACGATGACCTTGGTGTTGTCCTCGCGAACGATCTTGTCGGCGTCGCAGATCATAAGAGCGAGGATGGCGCCGATGGCCATGAGAGCGATGAAAGCGGCGTATGTACCATCAGAGACGGGACCAGCTTTCTTGTTGATGTTTTGAGCAAGGGGAATCTAAGATATGTTAGTGACTACAAAACTTGGAATCAAGGTCCAAGAGGTACTGACAAGAGAACCGATGACAGCACCCATGTTGAAAATGACCCAGAACCAAGAGATGTATCGTCCCTTGCTCTGCTCAGGAGGATAAGACATCATGATAGATCCCTGAGCAGCCCACAAGAGTCCAGCGCAGAGACCCAAAAGAGCACCAGCAAAGACGACAAAGGGCATGTTCTGAGTATGCGAATAGCACAAGAACGAAGCAGCATAGACACAATATCCCAAACCTCCGATGGACAGAGTCAGACGAAGACCAAGCCTGTTTGCAAAAGTACCAGCGAAGAAACCAATGACAGCAAAGGTGCTGTAGAGAGCCGTGTTGGCGTGATCCTGGGCTTCATTGGAGACTTGGCCGCCACCTCCGAGACCAGTCAAGGCATTGAACATGCCGGGACATAAGAAGCAGACGATGGAGACCATGAGGAGTTGGACCTTGGGCGAGGCGTACCAGAGATCAACGCCGGCGATGCGAAAGGTCTTGTACATCCATCCTTTGGGGCGGAAGCCTGGTGTATCTGAGTCTGCGGATTCTGAAGCCGCTTGGGCAATGGGGGTTTCCTTTTCGTGAGTAGACATGGTGGGTGGTGGTGTTGATATTCGAGATAGAGATGAGGGTCAAGGCCCTGTACAAGACAATTGATATGCTTCTCTAGACAATTGAAGACCAGAAGATGAATGAATGAGATCCAAGAAACCAAGATAAATCCCGGATGTAGCAGAATTAAAGTAGTCGCGAGAAAACGATGGAGAGATCCAGGCACGCGACGTACTCTATCGTGAGGGTGCCCCCAAAAATAAACTAGACCCGACCCCTGCCCGTCCTTGATAGTTACAATTGGGGAAATGTGTGTATCACGAGAAGGCGAAGAGAGAGAAAAGAAGGAGAATGGATTGTCAGGGGTCTCGTCGAGTGGTGAGAGTGGATGAGATGGGATGGATTGGATGGATGGAAGATGGGGAATGGTGAGGGTGAGGGTGAGGGTGGTGCGGGTTAGTTACAGGGGGGTTAATGGGGAGATGCAACAATGGATGGAGGGTGTCGATCCGCTTACAGTGGGTGAACGTGAGGTGGCGTATTTTTCCATTTCCATTATTATCGACGTATCGGGCGAGGCCGACGATGACAGTTTATCACAGATATTGATTTATGAAGATATCGTCAGTCATTACATATAAGCATCAAGAGATCGATATCAAGAGTTGAGGCTCTGCAAAAAGGTCAATTCCGTTATCCTTGATAGAGACTTAGTTAACTGCATTCAACCGCCAAGTCTTGAGACTCGTATCATCTCAACCACCACAGAAACTCGATTCAGAAATGTCTCCCAAAACGTCCACGGTATTCCCCAGATTCACAAGATCAAAAGCCATCGTCTCCATGGGGTAGCATTTTCTCAATCATGAGAGGCTATCAGAGCTCGAGTGGCGTACCCTAACGGTAACGTTCGTGGATGTCACAGATGCCGGGTTCGCATTGGTAACGTTCTACCCAAACTTTACTTGTAGCTTCAGGTTGTGAGAACAATTGTGGATTCGATTTGCCAGGCTGAGATGGGAGTGGCTGATTTGGCGCTACTGAGGTCATCATCTGCAAGTTGAACTTGGTGATATCTTTCTTGGCGATAGTAACATTTACATTGAATTACATTGTAACTGTTGATTTCATGGTTGCTTTTCTGATGCCGTTTCAAGACATGCAAGCCGTTGGGCATTTTTTAGTTGTCTCCCGCCAAACCCCAGACCAATTTAGGGTCTTCCAGGGGAAAGGCCCGACTGCCAAGTTCCGTGATTGGCCAAACAACACCGAATCTCCAGACTTCACAGCCCGTAACCAGTTGAACGGTTCACCAATAACCAACCGTTTCAAGTCACAACACCCAAGATATACATAGAAATACCAATACGAAGACGCATGTCTCATTACGAAAATTGTCATCTTGCCATCTTGTTTTTAGAAACATGTCACTGGCCCCCGGCAAGGCCTTGTTTCTCTCGTAACATCACATAATTAACTCACTCATCACGATAACCCCAAGTCTTAGCTATCTCCCCCAAGCTCTGACCAAGAGGTGAGAGAGGTCCAATTAATTTATATCCGCATGTAACGTTTCGCCCAGACTGCGGATACCACGATATCTCATGTTCCACGGCCTGCCTGATTTGACACTCGTGGATTTAAACTACGTTTCACTTCAGCCGCATTTGTTGGGGTTTGTTGTGTGGTAAACCGAGATAAAGCGATCCACTGATTGATTGATTGATTGATTACCTGGTTACAGTGAGTTGGGGTTGGAGATATCGGAATGGAGTCGTTGGTCTTGGCCTTGCTACATCCATCGTGATAGCGATAGTATGTAACTGATATGCATGTTACGTTGTTGAGATAAACAACTGTCATTGATCTGGTTGCAACTCTGTTTAGCGAGCCTGCATATAACAATCGCTTCTGATGACATGGGTCATGATTGACGATCCGTGTCCTCGGTACCATGACTTGTTGCCATTAATTGGTATCCACGGTACGGATACTTTGGTGTAGTCCTATTGCATGGGGTTGTGTATAAATGTTGCCAACCTCCATCTTGTGTTCTTGTGTAGATTGGAAGGGGAGCTATTGGATAGGGTTGTTTTGACATGCAAGGTACTGCTCTGACAATGGCAGCTAAATAAAGTGCGCATGATGATTTACAACAAATGCCGGGGCACAGCCTGTCGTGTTGGCATTCAGTGGCATCCATACCGGCTTATGAATCTGGTGTAAGCAAAATCTCCAATAGAACATCGATCAATCAAGCCACAGTTTATGCCCATTGTCCGTAATCTAATCAGAGAACTCCATACCTGTCCTATGATATTTATTTTGGATTATCTGACTGGTTGCCAGACTTACAAACCTTGATGGCCTTTCTTCGTCGCGAGGATCAACATGATAACCCTGGTATTGGAGCTTCACGTAATACTACATATGTGCTCTCTGGGCAACTCTTTCTAAATCGAATAAACTTACTTTATGCAAGTAAATTGCTGAAACTAAAACGACCATTATGATATCTTTACAATGCCATTATTTGTCATAACTCCCATGATCCTCCTTTGTTGAATCTGGCCATTAACATCACGTGAGCCTGACAAATTCTCACACTCTGATTCGCTCGGACAAGATCGGGGAGCCATTCTGACGTACCAGCGGTCTCCGGCAACAAACGCCTTTTAGCACCGAGGAGCCGGGCTTTGAAATCATAAGCCTCCACTATCCATCCACTAAACCTTTGCCTCTCTCGATACCAATCCTCAACCTCAACATCACCACCACATGCGCCCACAATGTTTGCCTCGAGATCGATAACGAGAATCGCCCTGCGACGAGGATGCCCTCTGAGGCAATTCTCAACGTCGAGACCTCTCGCTGTGTCCTACCACTCATATACTCTCCCAACACATACTTCGACGCCTCCCAGAAACGACGACGTTCCTGAAACTTCAATAACACAACCTGATCCTCTTCCTAAAGTCCACGAGACACGACCTCCTCCTCAGCAACCGCAGCATCCTCAACCACCTAAGCAACAAGAACCTGCGCCAACACAAAATGCCACTCCCGCCACATCGGCATCAGCTCCGAAGCTCAGCGAAACAGAAGCTCAGAAGCCAAAGGCAGCTAGACCACGACCTAAACTACGAGCGCGCAAGGCCGCTATGAAGTTGACACCCTCTGCGGTGGAGCAATTGCGAGAATTGCTGGACCAACCGGAACCTAAGCTCATCAAGGTCGGAGTACGGAACCGAGGATGCAGTGGCTTGGCCTATCATCTTGAATACGTTGATAAGCCGGGGACTTTTGACGAGACGGTTGAGCAGGATGGCGTCAAGGTCTTGATCGATAGCAAGGCGCTGTTCAGCATCATTGGGAGTGAGATGGACTATGTTGAGGACAAGCTTAATCAGCGGTTTGTGTTCAAGAACCCAAACATCAGTAAGTTGCCACAACAGTCACAGATCGTCATAATACTAACAGACATCTCAGAGGAGGAATGCGGCTGCGGAGAGTCCTTCATGGTTTAGAATGAAAACCACCGTCTGGTCATCGCATCAGTACATACGAAAACAAAACAAAACAACACTCACGAGACGACGTCATTCATGCTTGAACGACAGGGATATGTCAGAATCACCCCGTCGTCTCAGCACAAGAGACACGAGAGTCCGGAAATGATCAAAGTTCAGCGAGAAACAGCATGCATAGAAGCATTTGCGAGTCGCGTCTTGTAAAAACCCAAAAACAGGAGCCCGTCGGGAGCAGGCATGGTAGCCCCGTAACTAGGATCGGCATAATCATTGGCGTTGGGTTAGATTGGAGACATCACCTCCCTCTGTTTGAGAAAAACACTATACATACATTCATACATATACCAGCGTGCCGCTTTTTGGTACAGAAATGAGGAGACATGGAATAATGAGATAGTCACAACTGATGGGATCTTTTGTAGATCAACATGATGAACTTGTGTAAATAATATCATTGGCCACATACTGAAATCCACTGCTGCCCTTTGTTCTCGTGCCAAGTTCTTGGGCAATGTCATTCAGTAGGCAAAGACTTGCGATGCGTGAGACGAAGCAGCTCGCGAATGATTAGCATATTAATACGGCGCAGAAAGGCTAGCTATGATGTTACGTAAATCGGAGAGACACAGCTGTTCTCAAGTGAATTAGGCGCTCAGTTCCAACTGGGATACAGAGTAGAAACCACCGAGAGATAAGTCGGCAACTGAAGTTTTGGTGTATATCCCGATGTTGTTTCGCTTACTCACATCAATCACATCGTCAAGATGGCCGAGTGGTCTAAGGCGCTGCATTCAAGACGATGTCTTATCCGGTTAACTGGGTTCTGCAGTATCGAAAGATTCTTGGGTTCGAATCCCAATCTTGACAATTCTCTTTTTGCTTTTTCGTGATTATGATGTCTTTTTGCTGTCTTATGTGGATAGAAGCTGCCGTATAATTGATTAGTTTTGTATCCATGACTGTCTTTTACTATAAGCTGGTATGGCGCTTGTGTAAGTCAAGTGACTGACTACAAGCCACATCTTGAAGGTCACTATGTCTATGCTGACACGGGCTACTGACGAAAGGATACTTTTCTTCCAGAAGTATTCGCCATCTCATATTCTCTTGCATGTTACATGTATGCAAGCCAGTCATTTGTATAGCATTGACCAGTATGGCTGCCCGTTGATGTTAGTCACATGACTTCGCGATATGTGTTGCTCTAGATGTTGGCGTCGACCGCGCCCTTTGACGTGACGCATCTTTAATGACCGTGATTTAAATCGTGACTCTTTCGTTTACTCCTTGAATTCATGTCAACATTACGAGCCATCACATAGCCAATACCCATAACTTGGAACTTGGCCTCACATATAGTTCCACGCACTTCACTTATTGTACCATAACTGTTAAGACAAAGCTATGGCAGCCATCACCAAAAGCAAGCGACCTCTTGAAGAGCCCAAAGAAGATCGCAAAGTCAAAGTCACAAAGACCAAGAAACAATCATCACCTACTGCGCCAACCTCACCCGCCGACTTCACCACAATCATGGCTTCTCAACTAGCTCTCATCGAAGCATCCAGCCGCACACCGTTCGAGAAGAGTGTATGGACACTTCTCTGCCAGATCCCACGGGGTAGCTTCTCAACATACGGTATCATGGCCGCGCATTTAAAGTCATCACCAAGAGCTGTAGGCAACGCGCTGCGACGCAATCCATTCGCACCAGAAGTACCATGTCACCGCGTTGTGGCTACTGGAGGTGCGCTGGGTGGGTTCAAGGGGAAATGGCCTAAAGATGGTGAGGGAATCACTCTTGATGAGAAGAGGAAGCTTCTGAGAGGCGAAGGAGTGAGATGGGATGATAAGGGCAAGGTTATAGGGACGCCGTTTAGTGGATTTACATGAAATGGTCTCTGATGAGACATTAACTTTATTTCGTATAATGAACATCATGAAGTTAAAGACTTGGTATCCTATCACTGGACGTCTTTCTCCATGTGGGGGAAATACGGTCAACAACAAGCCTATTGTAGCCGAAACCCGGAGACGGTTTGGTAACCAACGACAACGTTTTTTATTCGTGCTTCACCTTGGGCTCACAGCTCACCCGAGACGGATTTGCATGACCGGTTTTCACAGCTCGGTAGTCTTGTGCCGCACTGGAACAGGTTTGGCGGTTAGTAAAAGAGTGGATCTGGCAGAGCCCTGAGACGGTAGATGATGGATCTTGGTCACCGAGATCCAATGCAATGCAAATGTGACGAGCCCGCGGGAACAGATGGTGACCGTTATGTCATGCCATGTCGTGTCATTTGCTCGGAGAAGCGATGTATTATGTAGCATCGCCGAGGACGTTGTCAACTCTGTTACTGTAGATAGATTCAGGTTTAGAGAGGAAATGGGTAACAAAGGCATTATCATCAAACACGAAATGCACCACAACCAACACAACAATTATTATATCATAATCAAATCGGTGAATGTCTTTTTCCGTCCTACTACTTGTACTTGTCTCTGTTAGCCCGACAAATCCCGTGCCCAAAATAGTGGATCAAACCACAGAGCACAAGCCTAGGTTAGTGGTCTGTCTGAGGCTCCTGATTGATTGAGCGCCGTAGCTTCGTGGATTTGGTTTTCCTCGTCATCCGAAAACCTCTTTTTCTACTGTTACCTCCTTGTGACGATCTAAACCGCTCTCTCCCCTTCTCTTTATCCCCCTCAAACTCCCTCCCTCCCTTTCTCGATCATATCCCCCCAATCTCCCCTCTTCCTTTATCCCCTCACAATGTTCAAGCTCGGCCGTAGTCGTGCTGTGGCTTCGGCCCTCAACGCCTCAAAGGTATGTCCCAGTTCTGTTATCGCCCGCTAAACAAGAGCTTGGTGTTGCGCTTGATATATACAAACAGTCACTAATTCTAATGTTAACAGCTCCAGTTTGCTGCCCCTGCCGCTCGATTCCCCGGCGTTCAACAACGACGAGCTCTGAGCATTCACGAGTACCTCTCTGCCGACCTCCTCCGACAGGTAAGGTTTTATCTACTCAATGTCCCCCCCTTGACGATCGTCGATACTACGAACTACAAACTACGGGACTCACCTCACAAAAAACCACGGCTGCTAACCACCAACAGTACGGCATTGGTGTCCCCAAGGGTTCCGTCGCAAAGTCCGCCAAGGAGGCCAAGGAGATCGCTGAGAAGATTGGCAACGATGATATGGTTATCAAGGCCCAGGTCCTTGCCGGTGGCCGAGGAAAGGGTACCTTCGACAACGGCCTGAAGGGCGGTGTCCGTGTCATCTACTCTCCCCACGAGGCCGAGATGTTCGCCGAGCAGATGATCGGCCACAACCTCATCACTAAGCAGACGGGCGCTGGCGGCCGTCTCTGCAACGCTGTCTACATTTGCGAGCGCAAGTTTGCTCGTCGTGAGTTCTACCTCGCCATCCTCATGGACCGTCAGAACCAGTGCCCCGTCATCGTCTCCTCTTCCCAGGGCGGTATGGACATTGAGACCGTCGCCAAGGAGACCCCCGATGCCATCCACACCAACTACATCGACATCAACGTTGGTGTCACCGACGAGGTTGCCCGCGACATTGCCACTAAGCTTGGCTTCAGCGAGCAGTGCATCGAGGAGGCCAAGGACACCATCCAGAAGCTCTACAAGATCTTCACCGAGAAGGACTCTACCCAGATTGAGATCAACCCTCTCTCCGAGACCTCCGACCACAAGGTTCTCTGCATGGACGCCAAGTTCGGTTTCGACGACAACGCCGAGTTCCGACAGAAGGATGTCTTTGAGTGGCGCGACACCACCCAGGAGGACCCCGATGAGGTTCGCGCTGCTGAGTCCAACCTCAACTTCATCAAGCTTGACGGTGATATCGGCTGCCTTGTCAACGGTGCCGGTCTTGCCATGGCCACCATGGATATCATCAAGCTGAACGGAGGTCAGCCCGCTAACTTCCTCGACGTTGGTGGTGGTGCCACTCCCGCTGCTATCCGAGAGGCTTTCGAGCTCATCACCAGCGATGCTAAGGTCACCGCTATCTTTGTCAACATTTTCGGTGGTATTGTTCGATGTGACGCCATCGCCACTGGTCTCATCAAGACTGTTGAGAGCATGAACCTCCGAATCCCCATCATTGCCCGTCTCCAGGGTACCAACGTTGAGCAGGCTCACCAGCTCATCAACGACTCTGGTCTTAAGATCTTCTCCATCGATGACCTACAAACCGCCGCCGAGAAGGCGGTCCAGCTGTCCAAGGTCGTCAAGATGGGTAAGTTGCCTTGACCCATATAGTGCCTGTTCTGATTGCTAACACTTGAATAGCCCGTGACATCGATGTCGGTGTCGAGTTCACCCTCGGTATCTAAACAGTTCCACTTGGAAATGCTGTTAGACGAGCAGTGGTGAAAGGATATGATATAATAACCCGATGTGAGACTTGAGCGCCAGGAGGCTGCGGTTCCAACCAAAACCGAGAGTAGATGAAACAAACACTCATGAAAAAGAGTGGGAGACATGGGTGGATATTCCTGTTTTTTTAATTTAGCATGCATCGGTCGGTCTTTGGAGCTCGCTGCTCGTAAAGACACATGGTTTCGATGCTCTCGAATGTGTCCGATTGGTTCGATAGAAGGACGGATGATTCAAAGGATGGACGGGCGATATGGTCTCCAACAAGATGATTTTTCGCGTATCCACGCCCTGCAACTGTTGTGTTCCTGATGCTGTGATTTGTGATATGGCGTGGCGTGTGAGAGTAGAGGTGACGAATCGTCATATCTCGTGAGATCATGAGTAGACACTGAGATTCTCAAGACTCATAATCGGATTGCCTTCGACCCTGGGCATGATAGAAGAAGATTGTGCCATACAGCCAACTTTGGCTTGCTTGGGGTCCACATGGTATCGTGAAGGGCTCTTGAATGATGAGAACAGCTGAAGGGCCGGAAGAGTCATTCTCAAGAAGGTCAGGTCTATTGAGTAAACGAAACAAGTCACAGATGGGCTGTCAGACTAATTATGTATAAGACGATTCGATGTTTCGGTCCAGACTCGGCTAATAAGTCTCTCGGATGTAAGGGTCCAATTTCATGCATCGTCTCAGAGCCGCATTCTTAGCTCATAATGGGATGATTTCAAACTTGTTGACAAAATGTATTAATAATGGATCAAAGGGTTAGAAGATAGATAGTATGACGAGTATTGAGATGACTCATTCAAGTGAAAAGAACAAGAAGAAAGAAGAGAAAGAAGAAGTTATTCGGGAATAACTTTGGTTCAGATCATCAACGTGCAGTTGAAATGAAAGCCACCCATCATGGACAAGGCTTGGCGATCTCTGGTCTCGCCGCACACTATCACAACCTAAAGTCAGCCTCAACTTTCCCAAGACTCCCCTGTCCATATCGTGACTTTTCTCTTTCCTCGCCTTCCATCTCCACAGCATTTATCACATCATACATGTACGATGAGCCCCTTAGGCACAGATATTCATGACTCACCAAATGAAATCTCTGAACAAGATTTTCCCAGCTTATCCTCGGTTATTCCCCTTGCCAGCGACCCACGTCTCAATGATGAAAATCTCCTGACGTAGATAAGACATCGGATCGAGCCGCAAAGGGGCACACACACGTTAACCAATGGGTTCTCGTTCCGTCGAGGTTCGAGGCGGGAATTGCGTCGGTTTCATTTCCAGATCCACTGCGGAAGAGCCGCATGCAAGCAAGTTCTATGTAGAGGCGAGGTGAGGTGTGAGGTAGGATTTGCGAATGCCGACCCAAGACCGACGCGGGAAGAGAATCTGAGATGGAATCTGTAGATGATGGTGAGTCTCGTGATGTTGGGGGATTGTAGAGTTGAGGCTGATGGTGAGCTATGATGGAATATAGGGTGATTGGGAGAAAGAGGGGACTTGGAATGATTAATTGTGTTTACTTGGAGTTGTTTTCGTAAGTGAGGTTAAAGGCGTGTAAGTAAACTGTTACTGGGTATAGGTCAGTTTAGTATATCTAATAGCTTGCTAACTTGAGACAACAACACACCTATACCATTACCATTAAACTATAGTAGTTGTAACAAACAGTAACACAAACTCTCCAGCCAATTACCTCTATGCTATCCCTTCACTGTCCTGTCTCGTAGTGAGCTCACTCAATCATCCGTCAACCTCACGTGCCAACGCCTCCAAACCACTTCCTCCTCAACACGCAACACCACAGCTTCACAAGCCGTCAAGTCCAATGCAACCGCACGTCGAAATAAGGCCACAACTTTAATCAGTTGCCGCGCTTATCCCCCGACTAGCACGTGTCCCCCATTCCCCAGGCCGACGATTGGGGGGAAAACGCGGGGAAATGGAGATTTATTCCTCGTGAGGGGAAACAAAAAAACCGCGCCATAATCCATCCCATGTAAGAAACGGTCTTGGCTCTGGGGAAACTCGGTCAAGAGAGAGATTCACAGGAGGAGATATAAAACGTCTAAGAAGACGTGGTAAAAAGTGAAGGTATCGCGATTTGATATGTAGATTTGCGAACCCACTCTTTTTCCGGACGTCTCTCGGTATCCGGCTGAGAAGAGGAGGCTGCCCCATTTTGTTGCCGTGCGTGGGTCAGGGATGGCCTTGGTCTAGTCTTGGGTCTTGCTTGGATGGCTTCGAGATTTTCGATGCACAAGAAGAATACTTTTGCAAAGGAGAAGCTCGGGTTGGTTTGTTGGTCCCACATGCTACAGAAGTGAAGAAACATAAATACCCAAGACTTCCTCTTCATTCTTTCGTGGAACTGTAGTTTATTCTTGTCTTCTTTGATCTTAGCAAGCGACTTACACACAACTTGACGTTATACTTGAGATATCTACAGTCTCAACAAGTCTTACATCTATCTGACTACTCTTGCTACTCAATATCACTTGAACCACAACAACTATATCTGCCTCATACTCAAGATGCCTTCTTCAGTCAAGAGTTGGTTTGCTCGTCACTGTGCTCCTCCACCGCCAATGACAAACAACCCTCTATGCCCATGCACAACCTGCTTCAACGGCGGTTCACACTCCAACAACTCAGCATCCTTCTCCATGTCCCCATCACAATCATCAACCGTTGACTCAGACAACGCATCACTCAGTAGTGGTACAACATACGCTGCATCCTCATACATTGAGACCCCCACCAAACAATAAGACCGAACACACACACACCCTGGTCTGACGAATTACTACCGGAACGAATAGCGAGTTTTATCTTATGGAGTTCTTGATCTATACCATTACCTACTTGCGATTGGCGTTTGCTCGGAAACAAACAAGGGATGTCATTGTCACATCAGAAACAGGAATATGACGGGAATATGATTGGGCTTGGGATCTGACGGGGCCGATGTGGGCTCATCCGATGGGTGGAGTGCTGATTCGGATCGGCTCCGAGGCGGAGTTTACGTATTATGTTATAGATAAGGTACCTACCTACCTGATACTACTGAATAGAGTACAGAAGATGGCCTTTCATTATTGTATCATCGGAATGTGAATGTATCATAGAGGTCGGACCCGACCATCCCCTGTTCTCTTCATGGAGGGAACCGTATGATTTGAGTAGAAACAGCTAGGATCTGCTTGACCAGGAGCCGCACAGCAACTACCTTGTCATTCAAAGATATTGGCCAAGAGTAGAGTGATCTGGAAGATCCTGCAGGTACTCTCCAGATCTAGGGTCTTCTGGCACCCACAAAAGAAAAGCATGGAATTGGGCTGCAAATCACAGTACTTGAGTTCCTCGCCCAATCACTCTTGACAATGATGCAACAAAGAACATGACAAGCCTAGCACATTTCTGGCTTAACATGAGATGTAAGATAATCTCTGACTTGGTTATCTCCTTACTTGAATCACTATTATGGGTTTATCAGGGGCAGGTCCTTTGTTGTCAATGCAGAATGTCACTGTCACCTGTAGTCACTGATCTGATGACCATATCGAAGGAACTCGCTTCGCATTTTTACAATAATCCACTCATATTTGGATTTGATTTCTTCTTTCAGAGAGGCGTCCTCTCTCCTATGGGAAGCTCACCCGGAGGATGGCCCGATATGCAAAAGATCGGCGCCGTGAATTACGGTTAGCTCCCGACCGGCCCCACCCACTCCGGGTCAAAAAGCTCCGGACTTGTAGATGTGGCCATGGACCTCCCATTAAAGATTCTACCAGTAGCGGTTCATGAGAGCGATGCTACTTGATTGAGTGTTGCAATCATGAAAACAAGATGGTTCCTTGTTCACTCTCAACAATCTCGGGTTCATCGTAGTCTGCAGGCGCCTCAATATGGGTGAACAGTCTTTTTACAGAGACACACGGCTTGGATACTCACTAAACAGCTTCTACAGTCACATCTTGCTATGATGAAATGATAACATCATATCTCTCCCTCTATATCAAATTAATTCCAGAGAAATAAGTAGGACAAGTCACTACGTTGCAATGCTCCAAGCTTCCGTGCATATTTTCGCATTACTAACACCAAAGCTTTGACGTCACCTCATCATCCCACTCAAATCTTCCCATCTTCATACCAGCCAAGTTTGAGTTTGGAAAACACCGCAAACAACTCGCCTACCTGAATATCGCCACGCTTATATTATTATACCCCCAAAAACCTTCGATATCATGCCGCATACCAAAGTCGACCCCGCCATCGTTGAGGCCCTGGGGCTGGACCCCGCCAACTCGGCTATCAACTCTCATGGTGGATCGGGCTTTGCTTCTACGTTCAAGATAACGTCTGAGAAGGACGGGAAGCCTTTGAATTACTTTGTCAAAACTGGGGCAGGGAAGGAAGCTGAAGTTATGTTTAGGGGTAAGTATACGCTTTATACACATCTTTCTAATATCATGAACTAACAGAGCTCAGGTGAACATGCCTCCCTTAACGCCATAGCAGACTCAGTTCCCAACTTCTGTCCCAGATCTCATGCCCATGGAGGCCTCACAGGCCGTCCAGGGCAATACTTCCTCGCCACTGTCTTTCTCGATCTGGGGTCATCAGCACCTGGTGGTTCAGGCAAAACTCTGGCTTCAAAAGTTGCGCAGCTACACACAACACCAGCTCCCATCCCAGAAGGCTATGACAAGCCAATGTTTGGGTTTCCAGTCCCTACATGCTGCGGTGCTACAGAGCAAGATAACTCATGGCGAGAGTCGTGGGCTGACTTTTACGCTAATAACCGTCTGAGACATATTGCGCGTCAGGCAGTTCGCAACAATGGTGCTGATCCAGAACTCGGGGAGGTTGTTGAGACGGTTGCGAGTAAAGTTGTACCACGGCTGATTGGGGATGATGTTGTAAAGAACATCAAACCTGTCGTTATTCATGGCGATCTATGGAGTGGGAACCATTCCAAAGGGCAGATCGCAGGTCACGGTGGATGCGAGGAAGTTGTCTACGATCCCTCAGCTGTATATGGCCACTCTGAGTTTGAACTCGGCATCATGAACATGTTTGGTGGCTTCACCAATCACTTCTGGAAGGAGTACCATGAGCTGGTGCCAAAGGCAGAGCCAGTAGCTGAGTGGCCAGATAGAGTGAAGCTATACGAACTGTAAGACCATCTTTTCCCTCAAACTCCACGATACTAACATCGCCTCAGATACCATCATCTCAACCACTATGCTATGTTCGGTGGTGGCTACCGAGGAGGCGCCATGTCCATCATGAGGAAACTCATCAGCAAGTACGCATAGCAGATAGAAGTTCAAGATACTGTATTTCATGATTCAAATGCAGAAACGCCTCAACGCCTGGTGTTGCCCGCTGTATACACCCAAGTCTAAGTATAGTAGAACGTACGTCTCGAAATGTAAAATGCTCTGTCCAAAATGCCCTGAAACCAAAATGTCTCGCTCGCTCTCCGTCTATGCTGCCAGCATGGCTGGTTGCTTCGCTCTCTCGGCTTGTGTCTCAACGTCTTGATTCTTCTGTACTTCTGGTAGATTCGCCAAGGGAACGGAGGGTAGTTTGGCTGGACCTGTGAGTTCGGCTTCGAGAGCTTCCAGTTCGTCTTCCACCTCTTGCTCGTCCTGGTTGGAGATACGACCTCCAAGCATATCGCTGACTTCCTAAAAGTATGTAAGTATATTCCACCTGTGAAGCAACAGTACCATAGTAACGTACTTGTTGATATGCAATAGCCTCCGCTGTCTCGCCCATCAACTTCTCCACATTCTCTATACCCCCCATCTCAGCATGAATCTCCTTCAGAACCTTTGTACCCTGCTGCAGCCCAAACACCACATCCTTCTGTATAAGCGCAAACTCGACATCGTTCGTCAATTTCTCCAGCTGAGCTAATTGCGCATCTGTCTTGGCTAGCAGCGACTCTTGATATTTCTTGCGCCGTAGGGCTAATAGAGCGCGCTTCTTGTCGCCCTTGGCCAGCATCTGCTTTGCGATATCGGTCTCTTTATCCGTGAGGACTGTTATACGCCGTTGGTATTGGTGAAGTCTATCGCGCTGGTTCTTCATGTCCAGGATGGCCCTGAGGATTGTTAGTATTGAAGGCGGTCACGAGCGCAATCGCGGGGACTGGGAGGGACGGACTTGTCCTGGGCTGTGACTTTGCTTGCGTTTCCGCCCATGATGAGGATCGTGGAGGCAAGTTTGCTGATGGATGCGGTTATCGTGAGGTTGTTGGGTGAAATTGTGTGGCTAATCAAGTCGAGGCCGCGAATTTGGAGTCTCGAGTTTCTGGTTTCGCTTCAACGATAGCGAGCGATTGTCACGAGGGAGACCATCGTCATCGGCGCCGATACTGGCTGGGGTCAAGGGTCTTATCGATAAGCTACCTAACCTAGGCCACCACCTCAGCGCTCATCTACCTTACCCAAGGTAAAGTGCCTAAGCATTCTTGCTTGCAATTACCCGATAGTCACACTTTTCACTTGTTCTTCTCCTTAATTTTGCAATCATGGCCACTCATCATGAGATATCACCAAATCGGCGTGTTTAGTCTTGCTCTGTAGGTATATTAAACTAAGTAATTGTGTTCTCGATCAGTGTCGCTGAAACGCCCGGGGACGTGAACGATACTTTGGGCCCAACGATAAGGTAAAGAAAGATGCCATCATCGCCATTAGATACATAATCTTGGTGATTCAAGCTCTTCGTTGCTTGTACATAGTGAGGAACAGAGGAGCTTGCACACAAATTCTCCTGATCACCGCATCGCTACCTCTTGCCAGCCCTCACGACTATCCCCCAAAGGGCCTCTTATTGACGGAGGAAACACGGTTCAGCTGTGTCCGTATGCAACTAAGAGGACTCTGGTTGCATGCGGAGACCTTGCACGTGGCTCAACACTTGTCTCGCGTGCTTGACTTTGTTGACAACGATCAAGTCGATACCAGCTTTAGCCTGGAGCTACATCAAAGAGTCAGTGTGTAATCGAAGTCAGTGTGAACTACATGAAGCTACTAACCTCCAATCCCTCGGCATCATCATTCAGTGGGCCATACGTGGCGGTATAGAGGCCTTGTCGTCTGACAAACCCAGCTAATCCAGGACTTGCAATAAACGGCTCAGATGCCATAGCCACTCCAGCCAAGCCAAACCTGTAGGCAAAGCGTACTGCTGTCTGCAGACTCGTTGCTCTCATATCCCCGGTCATACAGTTTGATGCGTCGTTGAGAAAGAGGACCGGATACGGCTGTTGTTTCGCCACAAGCACTATACAAATCTCAGGACTGAAGGATGAGAAGATGATACGACGCCATGGCCCCGCAAACGAATATATCACGTAGAGTATCTTGTCGAGGAAATGGTTGATATCGAATGCAAAGGCATCCATCTGGAAGTCTTCTGCTTCATAAAGCATGGGATACTCTAGAGAACAGTTAGAAGGCTGGACTTATTATCGTGAGTAGAATTAATAGAGAAATACTCAATTCGATGTCGAGCGGAACATCCTCCGACAGGTTACAGAGGAGCATTTCGAGAGTTATAAAAGGTTCATGAATACTATGGCCCCTCAGATATGATTTGAAACGGGGATAATCCAGCGTGTGTTCCATCTGGCTGATGAGCGCTTTCGTTGCCATGTCTCGCAGTGCGCCGAGTGAGTTGCGCCGCAAGTTGGTGGCGGCACGAGGGCGATCGCTCTGTTCCCAAGGTAGTCTTTCGAGGATATCATTGAGACATTGGATCGTAGATAGGGCATTGTTAACATCCATGAACTAGATGAATATGGTCAGTAACTAGAAACATATGTACCTATGTTCACAAACATACCTGCTCCAAGGTCAATGTATGCATGGGCGGATTGCAGCCTTTTTAAGCAACAAGGAAATCATGATAAATGACAGGAATGCTGTCTTTCGTCAATTGAACATCTACACAAAGTGTGAGACGGTATATCAAACAAACAAGTTACCAAACCACCGGTTTAGCCTTACCAAACTCGACAACATCGGCCCCATGTTCGACCGCAGTTTGAAATGACTAGTCGTAAAGTTAGAAAGGGAATGTTTCTGTGAAATGAAGAATGGCAAAACAAATACTTGAAGGGAATTCTCTCCAACTTGCAAGCGTAGGGACTTGTCATTCTGTCCGTTACCTGTTCGACGAGATCAACATGACTCCTGGATGACATGACACAGAGATCTGTACCGCGATGACCACCAAGGGATGAACCCTTCCCCAACTCTAGAACCTGAGCTTCCGTTGGTGCTTGCTTCTGTAAGGAGAGAGGCCGGGCCACAACGAACGTGAAAACAACTGTTCGCACATAGTCGTGGTTGTCACTGATAAGAGGAAGAGTAAAGTCTCGCACCAAGCTTTCCCGATTGGCTCCGAGACCCTGTTTGAGAGCGTTGAGAAGTGCAACGGCAATCCCAATAGGCTTATCCTCTAGTGGACTTGTGACTTTGAACATAATAGTCGCATTATCTGGATCGCTGACAGTGAAACACCAAGGTTGGTCCGAGGCTTCTGGGATGACTGGAAAGGAGATAGTATGCCCCTGATCAGGCACTCCGCTCAGTGAAATGCTGAGATCGAGACATGTGTCGGGTATTAGAACTGGTGATATGGATCTTCGGTACTGCGTGATGTCGACCCCTGCTGCCCTCTTGAACAAATTCAGGGTCCCCAAGTACATGAAGATGATTGAATCCGTAGGGGAGCGCTGGGGCAGAACGTTTAGTTTACTGTGATAAGCCCCGTACTTGTCACTCAGGAAACTGGAACCGCGTATCGAGAAGGCCTTCAGAACTTGCATGTGGCCCCTGTATGCTGCATGATCCTGTGCAAACCATCCACGCTGATCCTCAATGTTAGCTTCAGCGCCGGCTTGAAGAAGCACCTCAACCGTCTCAGTGTGCCCTTGCACACATGCAGTAGAAATCGGGGTCCACCCTCTAGCATCGCCCCGAGCATTTACATCAACTCCCAGTGCAACGAGGCTCTCGACCAAAACTGACAAGCCGCGTTCGGCGGCGAGATGCAAAACGGTTTGCCCAAAACGGCTGACGAATCGAAACCCCCAAGCTTCATGGATGAGCCTTCTAGAAATATCAATGAACCCGGAACGGACTGCAGTGGCGAGAGTCCCTGAAATATCGACGCGTTGCTCATTTGAAAGGTGTTTGAAACTGAGCTCTGTAAACAAAAGTTCAACCACAGTCGTGTGGCCAAGCTGAACTGCATAGTCGAGTGGTGTTAAGCCAAAGACATCCGGTAAGACATAGAGTTTTTGCTTCCAAGTTTCCGAGGGTTGAGCTCGTATGGCAGCTATCATCTCTCTGCAAACCCCATCAAGACCCAGTCGAGCTGCATCATGAAGCGGTAACCGGCCTAGCCTATCCTTCGTGCAAAGCAGGAATCTATGGCCTGGGCCAAGAAGCTCAAGGACCCTAGCAAAGGCCTTGGTGGCGGAAGAATCGTCCCTGTATCGTTGAAATCGGGCGAGTGACTGTATGATCTGATGCAACAAATCCTTGTACACGACTATGTCCTGGTCTGGATCAAATTTGGGACTGGCTAAAAAAACGCCCTGACACCTGATAGATTGATGAATAGTAGCGATTTGGGCTAGTTGGGAGAGAGCCAAGGATCGATCAGTCGAAATGCTTGGATATTGACGTTTCAGAGATGCATCAAGGAGTATATCATTGTCCTCTGCTAGGCACCGAATAGTCTCTGGTGGGAAGCGGTTCTGCCCATATCGCTCAAGAAGCAATGAGCGTGGTGTTACAGCCAGCTCTTCCCGTTTTGTAGCACTCCCCACTGCTCGCAATGTGTTATTGAGCTGAACAAGGCACGAGATGAGTGAGTGACACCAATCATCGAGTCTTGAGAGCAAGGCTACATTGCAGGGCTTTTCAAAACCATAAATAGCGACGGCCTTGTTCAAAATGCGAGAGATTGCATCATGGTTAGCTTTGGCGAAGAGGTGATATTGTGCAACATCATGAGCAAAATCTTGCAGTAACGATGTCAGGGCTCGCAACTCGTGTTTAGATACATCGTGGTAGTATGGCGATTGTGCACAGCCAATCTCGATCCCCCAATTCTTGTTCAGAGTCTCTATCTGAAGCTCAATGAGGTTGTTTTGTCTAGAGAGAAAATCATCCGCTGCGTTGATCTCAAGCTCAATGGCTCTGTTAAGAACTGGGGTTCAACCAAAGAGTCAACAGCTAGATTATACAAGGAACTTAAGCTCAAGGGCGAGGAAGCTGGCATACTGACTTGTCACGGTTGGCTTCTTTTTAACAAGGCCTTTCAGATAAGAGTAGTTGACATAGGAATCCGCCCATGACGGGACTTGCCAACGATGCAGATTTCTGCCGAACCTCATCGTTTCTTGCAACATTCTAGTAGATATGATTGACAGTGTTGGATTTATAGAATGAACCCAGCACACCCACCAGAATCCCTAGCGCCTTTTGAACTAATGTGGCAGTCTATTATTAAGGAAGCTTGTCCCTATAGGTAGCCCTAAGTTAGATAGTATGGCGGGTAAGCAGGGGTATCGGGGTTTAAGCATTCTAAGCAGCCAACCTCGGGCTAGTTGACTGGTGAGGCTGTAAGACCTTTGATGATAGGCGATGGAGCCAACAATTGTGAAGTCGATCAACGCAATCCTGTAATAAGCCAGTTTTCAGTGAGTAGCGCCACACCACAAGTCTGAGAGAAGGGCTACCCAAGGGGATAGTCTCTACTCCGTGTCGAGAAGCTATCTGTTGGTATTGCTCAAAGCATTTCTTCTTATATTCACACAACAGGAAAAGAAGAACAGCAAATCGACTACTGGCTCAGCGATAGCCACTCGTCTTGAAGCCATACAAGAAATCAAAGTTGGTTAGAACCCAAGCTCTGACCTAGGTGGCTCATGGTGATTGATTCCTTGCATTTGACAAGACACTCATGCATGGAACCGGTTGGATGGATGCTTGTGGGGCTGACTCTAGAACCTTATTGATTAGCTGCTGATCATCGAGATATATGTAGGTATATGTGCTTTAGTTACGGGTAATACTACTTACCCGTACTAACTTACTATGGTTATTTCCCTACCCGGACGACATCCCTAGTCATTTCTTTCAACAACAGGAGAAAGTATTCGTTATTCTCCCATCGAGGCTTGTTTGCAAATGAGCCATCTCTGTCTCCTTCCTCTCTGGCCTCAATGGCCGTCACCTAGAAGCCATTACGGCCGAGGTCTTTGGCTTGGCTGCTTCAGTATTTATTTACCCTGGCAAGGCTGCCCACCAAGTTTCTAAGGGTCTCGCGAGCTGCATGAACCATCTAGTCATCTTTCCAGGGAGACTTGTTTGTCTAAAATATACAGCGCTAGAACGGCTCTTTGTTCACCTCTCGAGATGTCTTGAGGAGTAGGAGCTAGCGCCTCTCCGGTTTTCTTTCTAGTGACACAACAAAGACCGAAACTCAGACATGCGCGGTCAAGTGATCATTCACGCTGCTAAGCTTCAAGGTCACCTGGTCGACTTGAACCCTTTGGCTACTGAAATACGGATAACTAACTACTTTACTTGGCGTTTAACACAACGGTTACCTTTTGATCTATTCAACCTGAGTAAAAATATAGGTACTACTCATTGATAATGCCGCTTGTAGATCATGGCCTTAAGCTTTACCGAATACCGTGCCCCATTCAAGCTCAGGTTATCCTAGTGCCTAGGTATCTTTGTGAAAGAACGGCCAGCTTCTACCTTGATCAACTTTCGGTCGTTCAGGCAAGCCGCATCAGAGTCTATAAGAGGTATGACTTCCATCTGCAGTCCATCAGGTTGACACGAGCAGACTTCCAACTCAACTCAACTCACCAGATTCCAAACCATTACTACCTGTGAACATCACCATAACCTCAAAGACTACATAGCAGAACACCGCTCTCTCGCGCGGTTAAGAATGACCGACTATCCCCCTTTGCTGCCCCAACTCAACCAGCAAGTCACTAAGCAATGCGTGCAAGCAGCAAGAGATAATGGCAGTACTTCTCCAGCCGAAAAGTCCAGCTCACAGAGCCTCATGGATCCTGCTCGTGTTGAAAGCCATTAACTCTGGTGCAACCGGGGATGTCCGTGCCGATGCCACGATGCATCTCGTTCACAGACACCGAGGCTTCTGAGTCGCCTCCTAGGCCAGCTGTATATCAATTATTCAGGTATACCCATCATCAGTCCCAAATGCTCTCATTCTGCTTGCAAACAGGCTGCTGCCCCTAAATTCCAGGCTGAGTTCTGGTTCCCTCACAACATTTTCTGGTCAAAAATTATCCAGATCCAGGCTACTTACCACACGGTCACCGGTCCTTCTCTACAGCTGCGAACGTATCGCCATGTGCCCGACAGCGCACCAGCCGTCAACTACGCTATGAACGGAAACATCACGGCCCTGCGAGCCCTGTTTGCTCAAGGGCTGGCGTCTCCTGTTGATATCAGCTACACTCGTGGATACTCCTTATTACGTGTAAGTCCAACAGCCTTTAGCTACCATTATCCTCTCTCATGACTACTATCGCGGAGCTGAAAACTGTGATTGACGCGGCATTCAACTTTTTTAGTGGGCTATATACTCGCAACAATGGGAAACATGTCGTTTCTTATTCGACCAGGGAGCAGACGCGGATTATAGGTGTCTTCCCCAGTCTCTTATTCCTTGATATTATATGCTAATTGGTACCAGACCAAAAGCTCCTAGTGACAATAGTCCTCGCAACAAAGCCACTGATCTCATCTTGCAAGGTGGCCTTGGACGGGAAGCTGTCGATGCCCTGTCCCGCATCAGCCGCCGAGAAGATTGGTTAGAGGAACAAGACTTGCACCCCGTGCACATGATCGTCCTTGGACTTTCTGGTAAAGACCTTGTTCAGGAACTTCAAGCAAATCCTGAAGCCGTCGACGACCAAGACGCAATGGGACGGACTGCCATCCTCTGGGCAGCGGCTCGGGGTGACGACGAAGCTGTTACTACACTTCTGCGCTTCAAGGCAAACCCAAATACAATGGACTGCCAACACGCAGGGCCCCTTTCTTACGCCGCAGACCGCAACTATACTGTCTGTGCCCAAATTCTCCTGGCTGCGGGTGCCGATCCAGATCCTGTCATCCCAGGGGGTTACAGAATAGGCAGCCCACTCAACTGCGCAGCTCGCAACGCCACTGATCCCCTTCTTGTCAAGGCTTTACTCGAATATGGAGCAAAGGTTGATGCTGTAAGTGACTGAGCCCTATATTATCTTTTCCTCTGACACATTGCCATATAGTGCGGCGTGGATGGTCAGACTTCTCTGATTCATGCTGCACGAACCGACAACGTCAAATTCGCCCAACTCTTTCTTGAAAACCACGCCAACGTCGATGCAATTTCAACAAATGGCCAGACTCCCCTCATGACAGCTATTGTGAACAATAGTCATGGAGTACTCAGTCTCTTACTCGATAAACGGGAACAAAATAGCGTTCGTCCTCGCCTCGCCGCGCCGCACCTACTTGAAACTTTGGCGCAGTATGGTATGTGATGTTCTTGACGAAGCTGTGCCTACGGCGTGCCTCATATCATCCTTATTGTGTCGGAATGTTCTCTTTTTGCTAATGAATGCTTAACACAGCTGATCTTAAAACCATGCGCATTCTCCTTCACGCAGATCATTCAAGTGTTGAGCACACTGAAGCTTACAGTACTGGAGATTTGGATGCGCTTCTTTGCCAGCGACGTGATGTGGACGAAGAGATGGTACAGATCTGTGCCGAACTGCTCAAACTGTTCCGTACAAAAGCAAGTTGCTCTGAAACCGAGAGCAGTGAGAGTTTGATGGAGAAGGGTAGTGTCTTTTAAGCAGGACTATACATTTGGTCGCAAGTTGATAAATTGCCTAAGTATTCTTTCGCGTCGCTATACCTATGTCTCTAAGGATTAGCCATGGTTTTATATGATATGTCCAATATATATGTCTACTAAACGTGAGACCATTGGAGGAAATCGATGTTAGATCTAATGCTGTTCAGCTCGACAAGTCGAAGTCTGTCGTGTCATGGTCTCTCAACTTGTAGTTATGTGACAGCTCATGTATATCGATTTCTTTGGTGAGTATCCATACCACTGACATAGGTACTGTGATGCAATATGCGAGGCAAACTAGTTAGATGCCTTGGATCGTTTGCGACAATGCTGTCTCTGGGACTATCGACTGGATTTTCGCGAAGGGCACTCCAAGTCCAGAGTCTTATCGATAAGCCAGGCCCCTCCAAGTTGACATAATTCCTTGAGCACATTTTGAACAATTGCTTGTAAAGATTGTAAAACTTGAGTAAAACTTTTATAAAGTATGGCATACTTACAACAGACTTCCTAAGATTGGTTCCGAACAACAAACTTTATCTATAGACTAATAAGTAGTAAGACCACTTCCATTGTACAATACCCCAATAGGTGGCTGTCGTGGTCACCTATTGTAAGGGCAAAAACACTTGAAGTCCATCATATAGCACAACGTCGAGGAAGAACACCGAGAGTCTTGATATGGCTAAACGAGCGGAATTAACATATAGGCACTAAACTATTTCCCCCGTACGAGGTGGACAAGTCAACTTCATTCAATCTCAATCTCCAACATATTTGCCTCTGGAGCACTAGCCTGTCCGTTCTATTTTGTCACCATCCCAGGCTTCTTAACTTTTTTTCCCCGTTCAGTCTTCGAAAGTCTTGAACCTCCCATCAACATCAAAGCCGGTCGTCGGTGACGCGACAGTCTCTAGCGACAATGACACTGGGAGCCAAAAGGCCTCGTCTCAATCTGAGGCAGGGCCTCGATCGCGATGTATACATGGTCATGAAGAAGCTCGAAGATGCGAATGACGGCAAACCCTTCAAGACCACAACAGCCGTCTATGACGCTATCAAGAGGTCTAATTCCAGCCTCAGCCGACAAAAGAAGCGCCCTCTGGAAGACTCGATCGACCGCGTACTTCAATTCCGCAAGGAAGAGCTCGGCGATTCAAGCGACTCTGAAGCCGAACTCGAAGAACCACCCAAGCCTGACGACGACCGTTTCCTTCTCAACAGACAAATGACGAAGCACTGGAACACGACAACTGCTACGCCTGCAGAAACGGCGACTCCACCTACAGTCGAAGCACCTCGCGCGATCAAGAAGCGACGGGTGCAGGACGATGGCGACGAGCGAGCGAAGGATGGAGCAGTTACGCCCAAGGGTGCTATGACGGATACAGATGCTGCGCCTACGGAAAAGCAAGATAAAGCACCTCAGAAGAAAACACAAAAGACAAGCCGCCACAAGGTCGAGCATCCTTCAGGTCCGGTCGAGATTGGAGGCGTGCAAGAAGTGCAGGAAGATTTCATCGAACAAATAGAATCCCTTCTCAAATTGCCGGGGTTATACGCTACCAACGACTGGCGAGGCTTCTCTGGTCTTGTCCTCTCAGGCCCGCCTGGTGTTGGCAAGAAGTCATTGATCCGATCAACAGCCGCGAAACTCGACGTGCCAATTGTGTACCTCACCGGATGCTTTGAGGACCTAGAGCGCGTGGAGAGGAGCCTTAATGATGCGATCGAGGAGGCCATGCGAGTCGCCCCGTGCATCATCCTCATCGAAAACCTCGACTGGTTTATGCCTAAGCCTGGAAGCAGTGGCCATAGCGAAAGTCATCGTCGCAACGTTTCACAATTCATGCGACAGATGCAGCGCATCGCAGCTGAGCAAGATAAAGAGAGACAAATTCTGGCCATGGCGACAACATCGCGAATCACAGATGTCGATCCTACAGTCCTCAAAACTGGACTTTTTGAACGTACACTTCAGATGAGGATACCAGATCTCGGGGCTCGCAAGGATATCTTCAAGCTCATCACCAGGAACAGGAATCTAGCAGAGGATGTAGACTTTGCAGAGCTTGCCAAGATTACTCATGGTTTTGTCGGTGCTGACATTATCAACGTCGCGACACTCGCCCAGCGACAGCCCGAGAAACGCATGAGGCGTATGGATCAATATCGTCACTACTTCGTCGACACATCAGCCCAGTCACAACCAGATCTAGATCTCATGAAACTTGCCGACCAACAATCGCCTCTTGGACCTTTTACTGAATACCCTAGTTTACCTCTGACCCAAGAAGACTTCAAAACGGCTATCAAAGACTTCACCCCTTCCCTACGAAAAGATGGCTTCACCGTCATCCCCAACGTCTCCTGGGAGCAGGTCGGTGCTCTCCAGGCTGCCCGCGACCAGCTCAATATGTCAATCATCGGACCCATCAAAGACCCCGAACTCTACCGTCGTGCTGGTCTCGCTCGTCCAGCAGGCTGCCTTCTTTGGGGCCCTCCCGGCTGCGGTAAAACCCTCGTCGCTCAAGCTGTCGCCAACGAAGCACAGGCCAGCTTCATTCTTATCAACGGACCGGAACTTCTCAATAAGTATGTCGGTGAATCAGAGCGCGCAGTGCGTGAGCTATTCAACCGGGCACGCTCATCAACTCCATGTATCCTCTTCTTCGATGAAATGGATTCTCTTGTGCCGAAGCGTGATAACGCTTCCACAGAGGCAGGCACTCGCGTTGTCAACGCACTGCTCACGGAGCTCGATGGTGTTCAAGACCGCACAGGCGTATATGTTATCGGCACAACCAACAGACCAGATATGATCGACCCGGCCATGCTTCGACCCGGCCGTCTCAATGTCCGTCTCTTCATCGACCTACCTACCCCTGACGAGAGGGTCGATATCCTCCGAGCCATCTATCGCACAAATCACCCCAACGCCACAGCCGAGGAATTCGACCGGCTTGAGCCCATTGCTCGAGATACCCGCTGCACCGACTTTAGCGGTGCTGACCTAGGCGGGCTCCATGTGAAGGCTGCCGAAAGTGCCCTTCGACGATGCCTTCAGGGGGCTAAGACAGAGGCTGAGATTGACGGGGTGGATTGGGAGGTTGCACTCTCCACCACCTATAGAAGTGTGCAGAATCCTGAGACTTACCGGAAACTTGAGGTAAAGTTAGGGAAATCCTAGATAATTTTCATGATGATACTAGAGTATATCCTTAACCTTAATTTAGACAATATCATCTAGATATGACTCTGTTTGTCCCTAAAGTCCTAAACATAGTCTAAAGAAACACTAAGGTCAGAGATGATACTAGAGTATATTCCTTATATTTAGATAATATGATCTAATCTTAGGACACAGTTCCTAAAGCTATGAATATACTTGATCTAAAAAGATACTAAATTATAAATATAGTCTAAGGGATACTAAAGTCAGACTGAAGAAACTCGCACCGTGAATCTGTTTTCTCTTACCTCCATCTCATCACGTCACACTGAACCCCAACGCAAGCCACGGTGGCTCAAAATTTCTCCAACACCTGTCAATGAAACCTCATTTTCATGCCAGGGGAAAAAAAGCAAAATCTCCAAAAAAACGAGAGACACCGCCCGCCGATCGCCGCAGGTCCCGCATACGCCGCCGGAGCAACGGAGGCGCACGGAAATAGCTCGGCAATCACAAAGTCATGATGAGGAAAAAACCTTGAAGTGGGATCGAAAAATAATAGAAAACATGCTCATGAAAAAGAACCGGTTTGCGCGGATGACCCTCTCTTTACGGGGCACTCGGGTATCGGGGAGACAGGACATGTAATCGGCTTTGACGGCATTGAGATTGGTTCGTGGCATCGTATCATGGTAAAAATGACGTTCACAATTGATTCCAGATGCATAATTATGAGACACGGATGAAGTACATAGACACGAAGTGAGTGAGAGTAGAAAAAGAATAGTTTAATATCTCTATCGTAACAAAAATCGGGCTATGATGCGGACACGTTTAATTTTGGTCTCATGTCATTCCTATTTTTCCGCCTCAAACCAACGCCAGGCTTTTCTTCTTGGGTGAAAAAGACGGTTGTGTTGTATCGGGACGGAAAGTCGCATAAAGAGGAGAGATGGGAATAGGAATACAAAGCACGTGGCATGTCTTAACAAGTGCTGTGTAGAGTCTATAGTACAAACGCCCCTTGGCGGTCCCCATCTATCGAAAGTCGTAACATTACACGCGATCTATAGTCGCTTATTTGGTAGAGTCCTTGAGGTAGCTGCCAAGACATGTTAGTGGTTGTTGTGATGCAGTGAGGAAAATGAGAGCGTATCAGTGAGGAATCATATGGTATCACCGTAACCCTCGAGAGAAACGGCGAGCCAATGTCCAGAGCTGACTGCAACTCAACAGAGTAAAAAACTTACGCAATGAGGTCGTTGCGGTCCTTGGCCTTCTTCAAGCCACCGAAGGCCATCTTGGTACCGGGAATGTACTTCTTGGGGTTCTCGAGGTACTCGAAGAGAGTGTCGTCGTTCCACTCAATGCCCTTCTGCTTGTTGGCATCGGTGTAGGCGTAGCCCTCGACGGAACCAGTCTTGCGGCCCCAGAGACCGTGCAGGGCAGGGCCGATCTTGTTGCCGCCGTCCTTCTCAACGGTGTGGCACTGAGCACATCGGGTCTTGAAGAGGTTGGCACCCTTCTTGATATCGCCTGCACATTGCGAGTTAGTGAATGAGTCCGAGTGAGTTTGGCTCTGGTGAGGCTGTGTAGACAAGGTTCGTGAGTCTGGTGAGAGGACGAAAGAAGAGTAGCTTTGGTGGTTTAGAGGCGTGGCACGAGTTGTTGTTGAGTCTTGGTCAACACTTCGTGGTCATGGGAAAACCGGTTCTGGGTAAATGACGCAGGCAACAGGGTCAGCGGGCCAACCTCAGCTGGGTCACCCAAAGCATGACTCTCTGCCATTGTGTAAGACCCAAATTTCCCTCGAGACCCGAATTGAAAGTCGTGATATCCTCTGCCAAGAGCGTCTCCCCTTTCGTTGCCCTCAATTGATCTCTCGAAGCCTTGCGCTACAACCGGCGCAAACCATAGCAAGCTGTGAGAATAGACTTACCGCCAGCCATTGTGAATGTGGTTTGTGATTAAGGAGTTAAAAGGTGGTAGTAAATTCAACAAGAGGCGTTAGCCAAAGACGAGAGCAAAGAATAGATTGAGTGTTGAGAGTGTGGATGTGGGAAGAAAGAAGAGAGGGAGAGAGAGAGAGAAAGAAAAAGATCCGAAGCAAGAAAATAAAACTTTATGACAGCATGACACGACAGGCCTAGGACCACGCCGGATCGCTCAATTCTCTTAGAGCGCCACAGGTGGCTGATGTCTTTTGAGCCAATCACAGCGCAAGAGTAAGTAAGCCGACATTCTTCCCCTGTCGACCATGAATGTGGCTCCGGGTAAAGTCGGGACACAACACTCAAAAGCGGGTCTTCCATCGGCGATGGCTTTTTTTCCGGGGTCGGGCTAGTCATGTCATCCTCAGGCTCTTTCATCATGAAAAAAAAAAAAATCAAATTAAATTCCTCAGTCACTGGAATCCTGTGACCTTGTCGACCTTGACCTGAGACACTAATCCCGTAACAGTCTAGGGTCATCCGGCTCAAAGAAACGGAGTGGGACCTCCGTCCCGGGACCTGGACCTCGTTTGTTTCTCAACGGCTCCGGAAAAAAGATTCTTCTTGTTTGGGCAGACGTGAGGGCATCACGAAACCACCACAACAAACAAAGCTCCAAGGCCAAGAGGTGGAACAACAAACGCACATATTGTTATAGTTCGTCACACATACCAACAATGGCATCTCGCGCCATCATCCCCCGCTTTCTCCTCCCTCTTCAGGGTCCTCTGTGGCGTGGTATCAGCATCCCGCTCTCACAGAACAGCATCCGAATTCGCTTCGCCTCCTCATCCTCAAAGGGGAAGCCTATTGTTCTCGAGAAGCCCGCTCGCTTCAATCCTCCTTCTCATGGCTCCCGCCTCAAGAAGAACCATGTGCCTAAGCATTACGGCCCTGAGCTCACCGCTTCCGAGGTCGCTGCTCAGAACAAGAAGCACTATCCCGGCATGATGGCTCCCGAGGGGACATGGGAGCACTTTTTCTGGCACAGTAGGCTTTTGCATACTTTCATCACCATGGTATGTATACTATACAGCTTCGTCTATTCAATTGGCCCGCATTATACTGACCCCCGCCAGGGAACTCTTTTCGCCCTTGGTGTTTTCACCTTCTTCATGAACTACGCCTACAACTCTCCATACAAGGAGCTTGTTCCTCCCATTTCAGACCTCTGGACGCACCCTCTTCACTTCTTCGTCGCCTGGAAGAACGTTATTGTCTTGCACGAGAAGGACAAGGCCGAGAAAGCTAGGGACCACCGAACGAACCATCTCGACGATGTAGCTAAGCGCCGACTTTTCATGAAGATGCACGGGATCGAGGCCAAGGACCCTGTCACTGTTGTGTTTGGCAAGGGTGAGGAGGACCCCAAGCCCGAGCAAGCTGCTGTGGAGGACGAGCCAGTGCAAAAGACCGAGGTGCAAGAGAAGGTTGAAGAGCCCAAGAAGAAGTGGTTCGGTGTCTTCTAAGATGCCTATGTAAAAACAAAATGCAAGAATCTGCATGTATGATATAGCTGTAGCATAACGATCTCCACGCCCAGGGATCATACGTTGTACGATTACATGAAATCCAGCCTCATGAGGCTTTGTACTTTTCTATCATACCCCATGTTCAACTTATACGTAGTCTCATGTGAGCTCGACACCCTCCAGGCCCTCCAAAACCTCATCCGCAACTCCACCCTTCTCCAGTACAGCCTGTATTATACTTTCCATTACTCCAAACTTTGTTCCACCCAACGGTGCCTTCCACACGCCCTGAGCTGTTTGGGCCTCTCCCCTTTGTGCAGTTCCATTCGTTGTATGTGGCACTCCGGGTGGTGTGAGCCTTGATGGCGGGTCAATGGTTCGGATAGACAACAACTTGAGCTCACGGCTCTTCTTGTCCACCTCCATGTCGCCCTCAGTTGCGACTCGACGGACTTCCGCCACAGATACGGCCAGCGCTGTCTCCGCGACAGCCAATTCTTCCTTTGCAGGGTCGAAGATGATGTTGTCGCCAATCGCAACCACAAGAAGTGTGATAGATGGTCGTGAACCTGCCGCATCAGCACCATCGCGAGGGAACAAGAATGTCGACGCCTCCCAATCGTCGTCAAACATAGGGTCCTCGTCGCCTTCGGACTTGAGACGGGGCAAACGGGTGGCCAGAAGAGCGAGATGTGTTGTGAGTGATAGTAGTGGGAGAGGGTATGATAGCGGAGGAGATATTAGTAGAACCTGTGCCATTTTAGCATTTCGTTTGTTTCTTTGTATCATGACCACATACGTCGAGATATAGTCGCCAGTGAAACCGTCTGTTGATTCTCAATTTCTTGGCAAACTCATTATCTGCCAATAGCGCCTCTCTCAGCATTTCTGCCAGGAATATTGTCGAGGCTTCATCATCTCTCTGTCCTGGGATCTCAACTGCCAATTCGAGCCAGTCACCCCTTGTTCGATCTTCTTCGTCCTGCTGCTGCTCTTCGCTTCCTCCAGTCTTCTCAATCTCAGCCTTGACTCCTACAATGGCCTCGGTGCCATCAGCGAAATGTACGCGCGCGCTGCCATTTGTACCAGGCAGAACGCCCGTCTCTGCTGTCAAGGGACGGAATTGTGTCGGCGTGCGCCCATCGGGGCGGATTGGAGGATGTAACGAGAGTGACTGGTGAAGATACGCAAGTTCGGCTGGCGAGAAGAGATTTATCTGGGACGCCATGATGATGATGGTACAGGCAAGTTCCCTGTTCAAAAACTGTCACACGAAGCGCTGAGACGAGTATCAATGTTAGCGCGCTTGGCCGCCTGAAAGGGAGATGCGACGCGAAACAGTAATGACGCTGAGTTTTGGTGTTGAAAGAAAAGGTTGGTCCTTCACCGAGGTGAGTGATAAGATAAGGCAACAAAAAGTGTGGTGGGCTGGCGGGGTGCAAGCTTGGGAAGCATAGCTCCACCACCAATCAAGCGTCACAGTCCAACTACATCGCACAGCTTCAGTACGGAGTATTTATTAAAACATCGAGACGTGTATTCATTCTTCATACTC